CAGCAATGTCACACTGCCAGCGATGACACAGTGCCGACGACTACACTGGCCACCGAAGACCTGCCAGAGTAACGACAAAGGCCAGAAGGTTCCCTGCGCTAAAGCCCGGTCCAATTACGAAGCCCACTTTGACACAACCGACGTAAAGAAAAAGAAATCCGCGAAGACTTAGAAAGTTAACATTATCTTTAGGAAATATGTCTAGCCGACTTAGGGAGCTATATATATCGATGTACAAACCCTTGTAAAAGGTATCGGCAGCTTTATTCACAAAAGCATATACAGCAATAACAAACGCTTCTCTTTGCTCATCATTTCTTTCGTAGCTTAACCTAGAAATCTCTGTTTCCTCACGAAATCCTTACAAATCTAATTGTGCTGGTTTTCGACTCCCACAAACCCTAGTTTCAAACCCGAACCTATACATCTCCAATTCATATCAAAATCTGGCACATCTCCTTTTGAAACCAAAACCCCTAATTTTCAAAATCTAAATCTCAATAAACCCTAATTTTCAAATGTCAAACCAACAAAATCTGAACAAATCAGACATATTTATAGTTGAAATCAAAATCCCTATGAAATCCAGACCCTTTCTCGCACCCTAAACCAAGTTGAAGCAAAACCCCTTTCGGAAAATGAGGAGATGAGATTTACGGATTTTAGGGCTTACCTTCAAGTGCTCTATGACGAAGACAGAGCGATGATGGTGCGGAAACGGAGTGTAGACGGTGCGGAGATGAAGCGAAGATAGAGCCAAACCGGAGCATTTTATACCAAATAAGTTATATGATGTGGCCAAAGTTCAACTAATGAGTATAGTACTCTCTCCATCCTATTTTATAAGATGTTTTAGTTGAATGAGCGAGAATTAAGAAAAAGACAATTATAAACAAAACATCATTTAAAAATTAGTTAAAAATATAATTCAACCAAATGTGGGGGGTCGGATTCCACCACGGTAAGATCAAACCGGGGAAACAACCAAGAATGCAGCCAGACGAGAAACGACTGCTCGGCCTAGTTACCCAATATCCGACGAGGTGGCTTACCAGACAAGTCAGCGGCATGRCAATACAACCGGAACGACGAAGCTGTGGTGTTAAGCCCGCCAAGTCTGGGAATGTCAYTCGGAGGGAAATGCAAGTTCGAAATGAARTCCATTAGCAGAGTCAATAACGAGACAAGCCAAGCCCAAGACATGGCAAGATGGGCCGAGTAGGTTGGCGCAGCCCATTCCGCGCAGCCGACTTTGGAGATAAGGAAGACTTCCTTATTTCTCTAGGGGAACTTCATTGACCTAGGACTATATAAGCAGATGTAGACCCTCTAAGGAGGGGATCCGGAATTCTTTTAGACAAAACTCTTGTATTCTTAAGCTTTACAAAAACAAATCTAACTGTGTGATTCCACCTTCCACAGTTTAATAAAAACCTAACTTCAATCTCTGGTTCTGTGATTTCGCACTTTGAAGACTCCATCCCTCTTGAACCCTAAACAAATCTAACTGTGTGATTCCACCTTCCACAGTTTGGTGCCGTCTAAGGGGACAAACAGAGATCTTTTTACTCAAGGAATCACCGCACAAGCGAACCAAAGATGACCGAGGAGCATACCGCCAACTCCGACCTCAACCGCGTCGACCAGACTGCCGGCGATTCCGGCAACAAGGAGGGCGACGCCAACATTGCTACAGATACGACGCAGAACCCCAACCAGGCCGCAACGGACGCAGCGCTTACACTGGAAGTGCTGAACCAGATCAAGGCATCGGTGGAAGCGATGCTCAAAAGACAAGAAGATCAAGAGAAGGTGAATGTTTCGGTCAACAACAGACTGGACACCCTCGCTTCGGCGGGCCGAGGCCGAGGCCAAACCACGCTTAGGCGGTTCGGAGAGCAACTTGTCCCGACCAACCTCTTCTCAACACCAGAGGGCGCRCCAAGAAYTCGGACTTTCCTGCCGCTATACAACAGCTCAGAGAYAGGCGARGGAAGCAACGAAGGGCGTACAACCCGACCGCTCRAGAAGAACACGCRTCCCGYTGACGGAACACCRCAGGTCGTCAACCTAGACGAGGAGCAGCATACCGAGGTCGATCCAGGAAGACGAACCGACACGAGAYGCATTGCACCAACCGAGCCCCACCCGATAGAGCSTACCGAGGCGYGCCRAGGTGCATCAATCCGCGTCGGTGAGCAGGGCGACCTCAACGGCATCAGCGACGAGGATCTCTACTGGATCTAGCAACTCGACAACCGACGCGACGAGGCATTGCGTGCCCAGAAAGCTGAGATAGCCGAGATGCGCGCCAGGATGGAGCGAACGGCCGAGGATATGAAGGCGGTTCAGTCTCAGATGCACAGGGCTACGAGCAAGGTGCCCYAGC